TGCAATCCCTATAAGGATACCCATGACATTCTTCAAAGAAATGGAGCAAACACTCCTGAAATTTATATGGAACAATAAGCCCCCACGAATAGCTAAAGCAATTCTTGGGAAAAAGAAAATGGGAGGAATCAACCTCACTAACTTCAAACTGTACTACAAAGCAGTAATAATTAAAACAGCATGGTACTGGAACAAAGGCAGAACTGCAGACCAATGAAACAGGGTTGAATACACTGACATCTCCCCTCAATCATATGATCATCTAATCTTTGATAAAGGTGCAAGTAATGTGAAGTGGAGTAAGGAAAGCCTCTTTAATAAATTATGTTGGCATCATTGGACGGCTACATGCAAAAAAATAGGCTCAGAACTCTGCCTAACACCATGTACAAAAGTAAGATCAAAATGGATTAAAGACCTCAACATCAGACCAGAAACCATAAGGTACATTGAAGATAAAGTTGGCAAAACCCTCCATGATATTGAAGCTAATGGTATCTTCAAAGATGCCACGCCACTGGCCAAGCAAGTGAAAACAGAGATAGATAAATGGGACTATCTTAAACTAAGAAGCTTCTGCACCTCCAAAGAAACAGTGACCAAAATACAAAGACAGTCTACAGAATGGGAAAGGATATTCGCCGAATACACATCTGACAAGGGGTTGATATCCAGGATATACAAAATACTGGTTAAACTCCACAAGAAGAAAACATCCAACCCCATCCAAAAAATGGGGCAATGAAATGAACAGAAACTTTCTCAAAGAAGAAATCCGAATGGCAAAAAAGCACATGAGAAAATGCTCTACATCATTAATCATCAGAGAGATGCAGATCAAAACCACAATGAGATACCATCTCACACCTCAGAGACTGGCCCACATTCAAAAGAACAAAAGCAACCAATGCTGGCGTGGATGTGGCGAGAAAGGGACACTCCTTCACTGTTGGTGGGAATGTCCACTGGTTCAGCCCTTCTGGACAACAGTATGGACGATTCTCAAAAAATTAGAAATTGAGCTCCCGTTTGACCCAGCAATACCACTCCTGGGAATATATCCCAGAGAGGCAAAAATGTATAGTCGAAGTGACATCTGCACTTGTTTGTTCATTGCAGCACTCTTTACAATAGCCAGAAACTGGAAGAAACCTGAATGCCCAAGAACAGATGACTGGTTAAAGAAACTTTGGTACATCTACACAATGGAGTACTATGTAGCTGTTAGAAAAGATGAAGTCATGAAATTTACATACAAGTGGTACAATATGGAAAGTATCATGCTAAGCGAAATGAGTCAGAAAGAGAGGGATAGACATAGAAAGATTGCATTCATCTGGGGGATATAAAGTAACAAAGTATGAGATTAATACCCAAGAATAGCTGAGATCAGCACCAGGAGGACTACTCCATAACTTAGAGGCCAGCCGGGTATCCTAGAGGAAAGGGCAGTTCAGATAGAGAAAGGAGCACCAAATAAAGGATGTTTGGAGGATCCTCCCAGGAGGGGAGATGCATGTCGAAAGTAGACTATGGACTGAACATGTTTGCCACTCAATGCCTCTTTTGCAGACCACAACACCCAAACGGAGAGAGAGAACACAGGGGATTGCCCTGCCACAGAGGCAGGGGGGATGGGGGGATGGGGGTGGGAGGGATATTATCCATGGTGGTGGAAAATGGGCACTGGTGGAGGGATGGGTATCTGATCATTGTACAATTGAAACCAAAGCACAAAAAATTGTAAATCTACAACTTTAAAAAAATAAAATAAAATAAAGGGAAAAAAAATCTACAACTGTAAAAAAATAAATTAATTAATTAAAAAAAAAAGAACAGTTTGCAGTCCACCTGCGAGATGGTCAGACTTCTTCGTCAAGACCCTGAGCGATTGGTTTGAGGCTCTTCATGTTCCTAGAACTAGCAAACACCAGTGGGCTACACTAGCATGCGACGGGGATGACTGAAGATGTTACTGGCACCCGCTCAAGCAAATCGATGAGTAAAGGGATGTCAAGTAATCAAGTGAGGCCACACCTGAGTGCTCAGGGCTTATTACTGCTATATTTTCATGAATCACTCCTGACATTGCATTGGATGCCATTTGTGGTGCTGGGGATTGAACCCTGGATTATGCAACATACAAGAAAAATCCCTGCTTGCTCTGCAATCTCTCTCGCCCATCTATATTTTTGCTTTGGATGCTTATTTTGTCTCTGATACTTTGAACTGTGTAAAATTTTAAAAAGTCACTGCCAAGAGTCAAATGTCAAGAAACCTTTGCCTGTTTTTTTTTCCTAGGAGGTTTTAGATTTCAGATATTTTGTCTAGGTCTTTAATACATATTGAGTTGAGTTTTAATGAAACTTCCTTTACTTCATTGTACATTTTTGGCACTTTTGGTCTTCAGTTAATTGGCCATCCTGTCCTGTCCTGTCCTGTCCTCCCGTTGTTCATCGATTTGCTCGAGCGGGCCCAGTAACGTCTCCATTGTGAGACTTCTTTTTACTGTGTTTGGCATATTGAATACTCTCGGTAGCTTGCCAGGCTCTCCAAGAGGGGTGGAGGAATCGAACCTGGCTCGGCCAGGCTGGCTGTGCGCAAGGCAAATGCCCTACCGCTATGCTATCACTCCAGATGTGTGTTTGTTTGATATGTGTCCATATCTTGGTAATTACTACTGTTTCGATTTTTATAATATAGTTTGAAGTAATTGACTGCTTCATCCAGCCTTGTTCTCTAGATTTTTTGGCTGTTAAGAGTGTTTGTGGTTCAATGCAACTTTTAGGATTGTTTCTCTATTTCTGTCAAAAAAATACCATTGAGATTTTATAGGGTCTATATTGAATCTGTTGACTGTGTTGAGTAATTTGGAATATTATGATATTTTTCCAATTTGTGGCCTGTAATATATTTCTACATATTTGTGACTTTAATTTCTTCCATCAGTGTAGTTTTCAATGTACAGATCTTGGACCTAATCTTGTAAATTCATCCCTGTATATTTAATTCTTTTTGATGCACTTGCAAATGGAATTGCTTCGTTTTATTTTTTTCCTTGTTAAATAAAATAGGTGGGCATGGGCATTCTTGTTCCTACAATGCAGGAAAAGCTTTCAGCCTTTTGCTGTTGAGCAGTTGATTTGTTATATAAGGCGTTCATTATGTAGAGGTACATTCCCTCTATACACAGTTTGTTCAGAGTGTCTTTTTTTAGTTTTCAGTGGAAATTGCTCTCCTCAGAGTGGAATAGAATTGATAGAATTGAGTTTGATAGATAGTATAACAGGACAGGCTAGAAAAAGAAACTAAAAGGTAATTCTTAATCATTATGTAAGTAGTGTTGCTTAGGTTTTTTCTTTATATATTAGAAAGCTGTCGCACAGGGGGATACTTAACTCTAAATACCATTTTAATGCATGCTTTTCCCCTATTTAAAAGGGCTCATTTCATAAAATAGCAAAGGAGTCAGAACAGATAATTATTACAGTACATTAAGATGTCTTATCATATCTAATAGTTTTTAAAATCTTTAAAAATACCTATAGTTATAGATGCGACTCAGTATGCACAATATACATCATTCATGTGTGTGTGTTTATATATATAAATTGTTTTTAACCAAAAGAATATTTTTATTTGGAGGTAGGGTTTTGTACCACACCTAGTGGTGCTCAGAAGCTGTTCTTGGATCTGTGCTTAGGAGTGATCCCTGGTAGTCCCCAGGGAACCGTATGTGGTGCTGGAGATTAAACTTGGGTTGGGTTGAAGTGAATATATGCAAGGAAAGTGTCTTACCTCCTGGACTATTTCTCTGGCCGGTGTAATGTAGTTTTTATTATTTTATTTTTATAAAGTAGTTCACAATATTTGATTACAGTTAATATTTGAACACCAATCCCATCACCATATCACCATACCTTCCCACTACCATATTTTGGATGTTTCCATCCTGAACCCCAACCCGTGTCCCCAAAGCAGAACCAAAAAAATCTTTTGTATTATTTGCTGGAGCGAGAGCACAGTGGTAGGGCGTTTTTCTTGAGCACAGCCAGCCCTGCCGAGCCGGGTTCAATTCCTCCGCCCCTCTCGGAGAGACCGGCAAGCTACTGAGAGTATCTCGTCCACACGGCAGAGCCTGGCAAGCTACCTGTGACGTGTTCAATATGCCAAACACAGTAACAACAAATATGCCAAACACAGTAACAACAAGTCTCAAAATGGAGACGTTACTGGGCCCGCTCAAGCAAATTGATGAACAGTGTGGGAGGACAATTTTGTTTGACAGTTATGAATAATCTGCTAAAAATGATACCAAAATTTCTTAGAGGAAAGTGTGTGAAGATTGCTGTATTTCACTCAGGAGCCATTAAGCCTTTCTATAAGAGATTACTAACATTTGTTAAAGGTTGAGCCTTTGTGTGTGTGTGTGTGTGTGTGTGTGTGTGTGTGTGTAGATATCTATCTATCTATATATATATAGATATACACATTTCCCCCTAAGATTGGTTGCCTTCTACTTTAAATCCCATCAAATGTATTGTGCTACTCTTGGAATATCAGTGGTGTAAAGTAGGAGATGTCGCAAGATCCAGGAATACATCCGCTCATTGGCTGAGGCTCGTCTGAGCATGTGGAGAGTGGCAGTGAGCATTGCAGCTGTTGAGTTTGCGACAGTTTTGGCTGCAGGGGCTGACTTCCTTGGGGCAGGGAGGGGACTCACCTGTCCCCTTCCAGAGTGCCCTGAATGAAAGCCTTACGTGGAGTCTGGAGACATGGCTATGACATATCCCAGTCATATATATTTTTATCTCAAACACAGCATATGGGTAAAATAAATCTCCCTCAGATCTTTTTTCTGATGCGTTCTCCAATGAAGGAGTTAATTGTTATTGCATTTACCATTTCTTTATAAATTATGAATAAAATTTATAAGACTTTATAATTTATAAGACTTTGAATATAGCTTAACATTTCTCATATTCCTATTTTAATTTTAGGATGCAGAAATACTTGATTTAGATTCAGATGGCCCGGGTACTTCATCTGGAAGAAGAGTGAGTGAATAATGAAATTCTGCAAAGAAAATATTCAGGCTTTCTGTGTTGGGGTTCCTAATACCCACTCTCTATTTGAAGTTACTAAAATGACACACAGTGCCCAGTATTTTCATTGCTAAGGTTATTACAATGACATAGTAAAGATACACACTGGGTCACAGGGAAGAGTCACAGGCAGAGTCTGAAAACTCCAAATGTAGTCTTATCTCTTTCTATCCTCTGAGGAGCCCCACACAGAACATGCTCTTTTTTAAAAAAAATCTTTATTAGTGAGACACCATGAGGTACAGTTGTAGACTTACAGATTTTTGTGCTTGGGTTTCAATTATACAATGATCCCCCCCTCCATCAGTGCCCATTTCCCACCACCACGGATCCTAGTATCCCTCCCACCCCCCATCTCCCCCATCACACCAGCCTCTGTGGCAGGGCATTCCCTTTTGTTCTCTCTCTCCTAGTGGATGTTGTGGTTTGCAAAAGAGGCAATGGGTGGCAATCATGTTTGGTCTATAGTCTACTTTCAGCATGCTTCTCCCATCCTAGGAGGATCCTCCCAACACCCTTTATTTGGTGCTCCCTTCTCTCCCTGAGCTCCCTTTTCCCCTAGCATGTGTGGCTGGCCTCCAAGCCATGGAGTAAATAAAATTCCTGGTATTAATCTCGGCCATTCTTGAGTGTTAGTCTCCTATTTTGTTACTTTATGTTCCCCAGATGAATGCAATCTTTCTATGCACAGAACATGCTCTTAACCAAGCAATAAAAATATATTAATATGTGTTTCATTTGAGACTTAGTTTCCAAGTATTTTATTGGCAGTTGGTTATGTAGGTAACATAACTAACATATACCTAGTGTCCAGACTCCCATAAGGCTGGAAAGCATAGGAAAATAAATGTTCAACAGAAATCACATTGTTTGTACACAGTGAGTTCACAGTGAACCATCTGTATTATTCGGGAAACAGTTTAAATGCCAATTTTCCAGACATAAGCTCAAAGGCTAAGCTTGAAAATAATTCGTCCTAAAGATTGCCACAGGTCCATTATGTTAATTCTGTTATGCACAATTCACCTACCTCTATGATGATTAACCATATATTTTTCTATGAGGAAAACATTTCCTTTGAAATACTGAAAGAGATCATTAAAAACAATCAAATGTTGAAGGTTAGACATTATCATGACAACAGACTTTAGTTAAAAAAGTATTGATACAGATTTAGAGGTAGATATATCTATATATGTGTTTATTATTCAAGGGCTGGAGTGATAGCACAGAGGTAGGGAATTTGCCTTGAACGTGGCCGGTCTGGCCGAGCCGGGTTAGATTCTTCCGCCCCTCCAGAGAGCCGGGCAAGCCACCAAGAGTATCTCCCCTGCATGGCAAAGCCTGGCAAGCTACCTGTGACGTTTTCGATATGCCAAACACAATAACAACAAGTCTCACAAAGGAGACGTTACTGGGCCCACTCGAGCAAATTGATGAACAATGCTAGGACAGTGCTACAGAGCTACAGTGCTACAGTTTATTATTCAAGTATTGTTTTGAAAAATTATGGTGCCATCAAACTTACTCATCAGCAAATATAACAATATTTTTATCATTAACCTTATGTTAGAAAAACATTCCCTTGTACCCTAATTGAGATGAACATTTTCTTTTTTTTATTAAAAAAATTTTTTAATAGTGAGACATCATGAGGTACAGTTGCAGACTTACACATTTTTGTGCTTGGGTTTCAATTATATAATGATCAAATACCATCCCTCCACCAGTGCCCACTTCCCACCACCATGCATCCCAGTATCCCTCCCACCCCCCATCCCCCCCATCCCACCCTGGCTCTGTGGCAGGGCATTCCCCTCTGTTCTCTCTCTCCTTTTGGGTGTTGTGGTTTGCAAAAGAAACATTGAGTGGCAATCATGTTTGGTCTATAGTCTACTTTCAGCATGCTTCTCCCGTCCTGGGAGGGTCCTCCCAACACCTTTATTTGGTGTTCCCCTCTTTATCTGAGCTCCCTTTTCCCTAGTATATGTGGTTGGCCTCCAAGTCATGGAGTAGAATTCCTGGTACTAATCTCGGCCATTCTTGGGTGTTAGTTTCCTATTTTGTTACTTTATGGAGATGACCATTTTCTTAAAGTGAAAATTTATTCTTGCTATATCCATGAATATATCTAGTTTGTATTTACTGATTTATTTTTCCCAGGGAGGATGATTTCACAGCTAAGCTAAGCAGTTTAAGTATCAGTTACTATGTCTTATATACATACATTAAGATCAGTCTAACAAGAGAAAATGAATGAAAAGTTAAAGGGATTTTAGATTTTATTCTGTTAAAATCAACAGGCAAAATGCCGAGGCGGAAAACAGACTTTGAAGTGTAATCCCGATACTTGGAGAAAACAGTGCAAAGAGCTATTAAGCCTCATATATGAACGTGAAGACTCAGAGCCATTTCGACAGCCAGTTGATCCTCTTTCTCTTCTAGTAAGCATCCAGTTATTTAAATAACTATGAAAGTTTAATTCCTCATAAAGTTCCATGCTGAAACTTAGTGCAAGCCACTTTTCCTTTTTTTCCTTTCTACCTGCTTCCTTGCCTCTACCTTATTTCTTTCCTCTTTGTTTCCTATTTGTATATCTTTGAATTTTGAAAGTGGGTAGTATGTTAAACAGGACACTTAAAAATATTTGTCAATAGATTCATATGCAATTTATACTTTAGAAACCAAATTTGAATGTACTTTTTGTGATTGCTTCCTGTTTTCATTATGGATTATTCAATATATTTTACTAACCTCTAATACATGTAAGATACTATAGACCCATAATAAGATATGCTATTAATATTTTTAGATGTCATTAAGTCTGAGTACTTCACCTAATTAATATACCAATATAATATTTTTATAAAAGATGAAATCTTGAAAATTTACAGTATTCCTTTCTAGGAATTATCTCTTTATATGTTGAGTGATATTCTAGTATAGGTAGCAAACATTTATCTTTTTCTAAGAAAAGATACAGCTTAATATCAGAAATATATTAGACTATACTCTGAAATTAGTGAATATCGATATTCTTAACATACACAGGTTTAAGTTGAAAAGGAGTTATAAAAATCCCTATTTTATCATTGAATTATGTCAATAAAACTTGTTTTGTTTGGTTATAGAGAGCTTGAGTAAAATAAGTATCCTAATTTTCATGAAGAGGTGAATAATGAATATAAAAGAATCCTTTCGGTTATAAACAGCCAACTAAGACATCCTACATATTGAGGCATATTTGAGCCTGAAATCCTGATTTCATTCTTGATATTTTGCTGTGGTGGACTATAAACATATATATCTTCTTACCCTAATAGGGTCATCAAGGGCAAGATGGAGAAACCTCAGAGTCACTTATTGCAGAAAGACAGCAAAATTCATCTCTCTCTGAGGTAGATCTAACAGTCCTTTTTAAATGACATACTGGTATCTTATGTATTGTGTTACTTATTAAAACTTCCATATTTAAGTGAATATTTTGTTCATAAATCTATTTTTCAACTCTGTTCACTTTCCTTCTTGATTTTTTTTGTTTATTTGATATTTTGTTTGTGCATTCTCTGGAATCTCAAGATTCTCTAAGCATCTGTATAGTTGTTTAATTATACATTTTAAGGAGACTATAGCAAGTAGAAAAGATTCAGTATACAATATATTATATCTGTATTGTTGCTGATTATTTTTATTGTAAACTTTATGCAACAGGTTACCTGGTCCTTTTGAGTTTTGGTCATTACATTACACATAGATATAATATTATTTACCTTTATAAAAATATGTTTCTGTGGCTGGAGCGATAGCACAGTGGGTAGGGTGTTTACCTTGCACGTGGCCGATTCCCAGCATCCCACATGGTCCCCTGAGCACCGCCAGCAGTAATTTCTGAGTGCATGAGCCAGGAGTAACCCCTGTACATCACCGTGTGTGACCCAAAAAACTGTGTGTGTGTGTGTGTGTGTGTTCGTAAGCCATGCTATATGGAACGTACTTTTGATTATTATTATTTAGGCAAATATATATCTGTGTGTATCCATTCCAATGATGATAGTTACTTTGAATAATATGCTTTTTCTCTTTTAAAGTATATTTCCTCTGTTCTTATGGCATGTCCTTTGAGAGAAATGGGAGATTTTACTTCTTAATGATTCTTAAGGATATGATGAAGTATATAATATTGGCAATGTTTTTAACTGTGTTTATTGGGAGTTGTGATGTATATGGGTATAAATGCAAATGTAGTTCCATATGATAGCACTTAAAATCTTTTACTTATGCTTGAAAGATTTATATTGAAATAAAATCATCTCTCTCCTTTCATCAAAATCAAACTAATTCTGAAATATGGGACAGAATTCTTTGAAGCAAAATGTTCCTGCTGAAAAAAGTTCCAAGAGGATCAGATATAACAGATTTGACTTTGGTCTCTGGCTACCAACGTCTTAAGTAGAATGTCTTCCTAGCTGAGAATTTCTTGGGAAAATATAGCTAAATTGTTACATGGAACTATTAAAAGTATATTTGAATGATTAAGCAAGAAGTGCAATTCCACATTATGAAATCTATAATGATGAAGCCAGTGATTGTGCACTTTCTATTCTGCCCTTTAAGATTATATTTATTTGACTGGATATAGTACAATGAATTAGGTCTTTCCTTACAAATGGACAACCCAGTTATTATCCTCAGCACAGTACGCGATATTTTGGGTTCTGCTAGGAGTTATCCAGGTGTAAGGCCTGAGCACTGCCATGTGTAGCGAAAAGCACAACAGGAAGAAAAGGTTTTTTTTTTTTAGTTTTATTGAATCACTGTAAGAAAGTTACGAGCTTTCATTTTGGATTACAATCACACAATGATCAAATACCCATCCCTCTACCAGTGCACATTCCCCACCACCAATCTCCCCAGTATACCCCCCCTTCCCCACCCTCCCTCTGCCTCCATGGCAGACAATATTCCCCATACTCTCTCTCTACTTTTGGGCATTATGGTTTGCAATACATACACTGAGAGGTTATCAAATTTGGTCCATTATCTACTTTTGGCACACATCTCCCATCCCGACTGATTTCTCCAGCCATCATTTTCTTAGTGATCTCTTCTCTATTCCATCTGCCTTCTCCCCTCTGCTCATGAGGCAGGCTTCCAGCTCTGGGGCAATCCTCCTAGCCCTTATATCTACTGTCCTTGGTTGTCAGCCTCATGTTATGTTGTTCTATACTCCACAAGGGCTGGAGCGATAGCACAGCAGTAGGGCGTTTGCCTTGCATGCAGCCAACATGGCCGACCCAAGTTTGATTCCTTGGCCCCTCTCAGAGAGCCTGGCAAGCTACTGAGAGTATCTCGCCTGCACGGCAGAGCCTGGCAAGCTACCTGTGATGTATTCGATATGCCAAACACAGTAACAACAAAGTCTCCAATGGAGACGTTACTGGGCCTGCTTGAGCAAATCGATGAACAACGGGAGGCAGTGACAGTGACAGTAATACTCCACAAATGAGTGCAGTCAGAAAGAAAAGATTTTTTTATCAGTTGCATTGTAAGAGCTAAAACACCCTCTGCTTTTTTCCTTATCCACCCCAAAAGCTCTGGTAAATGGATGATTTGCAAGGACTGGGAAAATAGTTCAAAGAGGTAGAGAGACACCCAGACAGAGAGAAATAAGGAAAGTGCCTGCCATAGAGACAGGCTGGGGGAAGGTTGATGGGAGGGAAACTGGGGACATTGATGATGGGAAGTGTACATATGTGGAAGGATGGGTGTTGAAAAACTGTATGACTGAAACTTGACCATAATCAGCTTTGTAACTCTGTCTCACGTGACTCAATAAAATTAAGAAAAAAAAGATGTAGAACACATGCTTTGTGTGCTCAAGTTCACAAGTCTCATGCCTGTCACCACAATGCCTGGCACCGCATGAACCCCTGAACACCAATCTGAGCAGCTGTACAGCACCAAATCTTCAGACCTGCAACACCAGCCCAGAGCACCAGTAGGAATGCACCTATCAGTAAATGGTTGGTTGGAGGAGATAGTTGGGAGGCTGTAAATCAGTCTGTTTCTTTCACATAGAGATAAAACTCAGTCCCATTGCGTTATGTATTGTTACCCAACTTGAGTGTGTACTTTGAATAACACATTCTTCTTTAAAGGATTATCAAGATGCTATAGACACTCCTATGGACTTCAGCACTGTGAAAGAAATTTTGGAAGCAGGAAACTACAGTAGTCCTCTGGAATTTTATAAGGATGTTCGCCAAATATTCAGCAACTCCAAAGCTTATACCTCTAATAAAAAGTCAAGGGTATGAAAAAAATTAGGTGGACTAATTATCTAAGCATTTTGTTATATCTGTATATGATATATCTTAGGTTTTTTCTTTCATCAGTTTTAAAATTGTTAAATATGTTATAATTCTATTTCGGTTACTAAAATTTGATTGTCACTCTGTCCTCTGAAACATTTTACTAGCCATGCATAAATATGCTTAGCCTTGGCTATTCTGAAGTTAAACACCTCTTTCTTTCTCATGCTTCTTCTTTCCTCTCTCATAATACTTTTGTCAGAGATTCAGCTCAAGAAAGGAGAGGTAATAATTAAAATACATTCTCATATGTCCAATAAATAATCTGATAAATGATTGGAAGCATTAATTTATATGAAATACTTAGATTAGCTCTGAATATTTATGCTCTTTACTGTAACAGATGGTGAACCATGTACTGTTCATTTGTACACACTTTTGATAACTTTTCCTATTTTGTCAGAGCTTTTAAATATATTAAGTAAAAATAGTAATCATTTTTGAGTTTTTTAATCACTAATATCTGATTGACTTTTAAGCCCATTACATAATAGGTACTTATTTGCCTGTTTCTACCTCATACTAAATTATTTTGGGGCTGGAGTGATAGCACAGCATGTAGAGTGTTTGCCTTGCACGTGGCTAACCCAGGTTCGACTCCTCTGTCCTTCTCGGAGAACCCGGCAAGCTACCGAGAGTATCCTGCCCGCATGGCAGAGCCTGGCAAACCCCCCATGGCATATTCAGTATGCCAGAAACAGTAACATGTCTCACAATGGAGATGTTACTGGTGCCCACTCAAGCAAAATCAGTGAACAACAGGAGGACAATGCTACTGAATTATTTTTATTAATTTATGTAAGCACTGTAGCATATTTATTATTTATTCATTGTCTTTAAATATATCTTTGTTTAACATTAAGACATTACATTTTGAAATCTTTTAAAAACATAAGTATTGTCCTACATCATCGCTGTTTGGAAATAATTTTTAGGGGTATATATACATATGTTAAATATTTTTCAAAATATCCACTGGAAATGTACAGGGTTTTATTCCTATACATCCAAACATTGAACATTGCCTTTAGAAGTATTAACTTTTAGGTGAAAAATGGTTTCTTGTATAAATTCTTCAGTAATAATACTTTAAGTATATGGTGTAACTCATATATTTTATCTGAAATGATTATACTGGTATCAATCCAGACATGTTTCTAGTTTTTATTTTTTATATAATTCTTATTAAGACTATAATTTTTCCTATTCAGATCTATAGTATGACACTGCGATTGTCTGCCTTATTTGAAAGTCATATTAAAAATATCATCTCTGAATATAAGTCAGCATTCCAGAGTCAGAAGAGGAGAAAACCACGATATAGAAAACGACTAAGAAGCAGTAGCAGTTCTCCATCTAGTAGCCGAGCTCCTAGGTATACTATATTGATGCAGCATTTCATGTTTTCAAAGCATTTTGTATGTATTACCCTATCTTTCTTAATAAATATAAGTTTTATTGTTTTTTTGATAACATGGTTACAATAAATGTTAATATCTGTGGTGCTAATGTAGAAAGTTATCCCCACCACCACCAAGAGTGCGTTACTTCATCTTTTAAGTTAATCAATATTTTGTGAAAATCCCAAGACTCCCCAATTTGTTTTCTCAGAATTATTTCATCTCTTTAAAATTGGAATTGGCAGCTCAGAACTTTATGTGCATTTTATTTTACCAAAACCATTTTAATTCTAATTATGGTGGGTTTGGAACAACAGTCCAGTGGATAGAGTGCTTTCCATGTACACAGACTACCTGCATTCAGTCCCCAGCACCACAGATGGTCCCCAGGCCCCGACAGGCATGATTTCTGAGCACTTCTAGGTGTAGCACAGAAAACAAAACAAAACAACAACAACAAAAAAAACAATTTTATAATGGTTGAATTTCAACATATTACCAATTTGAATTATTTTACTAAAAGTAAAAGGCCAGTTCTTCTGTAGTGAGCATAAGCAATTTGTATCTTACTATCTGTCATAATATGTTGCTAATACAAAAAAATACTGATTTTTGGAATATTTTTACTTATAGTCCAAAAGGGAAACAGAAGCAAATGAAGTTGCAACCTAAAAATGACCAGAATACCTCAGTATCTTGTGCCAGGACTAGCTCTCCTTTCTCATCTCCTGGTAAATACTCATTTTGCTTTTTATGTTCTGTATCTCATTCTAATAGTGCTATTAAAGGTTAGAAAATACTTGTATTGTTTGCAGTGCAAAGAACAATGGATATAGATGTTAAAAAGGTTGTCTTAGTTTTGTTTTCTAGCTATGTGGCCCTAGACAGGCCGGAGTGATAGCATAGCGGGTAGGGTGTTTGCTTTGCACGCAGCTGACCTGGGTTTGGTTCCTCCGCCCCTCTCAGAGAGCCCAGCAAGCTACCGAGAGTATTCTGCCCGCACCGCAAAGCCTGGCAAGCTACCTGTGACGTATCCAATATGCCAAAAACAGTAACAAGTCTCACAATGGAGACATTGCTGGTGCCAGCTCAAGCAAATCGATGAACAACAGGAGGACAGTGCTACAGTGCAGTGCAGTAGCCCTAGATAAGACATTAGACTAGTATTCAGTTTCCTCTTCAATTTGAAAATGAAGTTGTTAGCCTAGATAAATTTTTAAATCTCCTAGTTCTAAAATTCTTTGACTTTATGATTTATAGCACACAGCGGGTAGGGCGTTCGCCTTACAAGCGGCCAACATGGCCGACCCGAGTTCGATTCCTCCGCCCCTCTCGGAGAGCCCGGCAAGCTACTGAGAGTATTCGATATGCCAAACACAGTAACAACAAAGTCTCCAATGGAGACGTTACTGGGCCCGCTCGAGCAAATCGACGATCAACGGGAGGGCCAATATCTTGTTGCACTCCTTGTATTTTTTTCTGCATAAAAACTGAGGATCAATTATGCATGTACGTGGTTTCCTTACACAAGTGTTTGTGACATTCTAATTTTAAAAGCTTAATGATATGATAAGCTATTTGTGCTCAGTATAATCTTTTTTTTCTTCAAACAACTGATAATTTTTATGTTAGAGTAAAGTAACTGAGATCTAGTTTTAAAACAATCTGTTTAACTTTTCTAAACTCATTATAAACTTATTTGCATTGGAAACTTCAAATATATTTTTCAGATGCTGCTGAGGGGCTTTCACTGTATCTACTTGATGATGATTTAGATGGCCCGTTTTCTTCATCGAGTTTCAGTGGATATAGCCGAAATGGAAATAGCCAAGATCCAGGGAAAGCCAAATCATTTCGTAATAGAACTTCACCAATTAAACAAGGTAGGATATATATATATATGTATATATATATATACATATATATACACACATATTTATGTTTATATGTGTGTGTACAGGGAATTTTAGTTCCATCATTTTTTAAACAGGTCATTTAAAAATAGATGTATTTATTTAGGTAGTAAAACTATGAACAGGTCTGTAGTAGATTTCCAAGACTATATCCAATATGTTTTAATCTTGTGAAAATGTAAAATGAATAGGAAGGAAAAACCAAATATATAGCTCTTTCACCAAGCATGTGAAAACTAAATGGTGAGATCGGTGCTGGAACATTGTATATCTAAAACTCAACTATAAATAACTTTGTAAATCTTGGTACTTTAATAAGATAAAGTTTTTGAAAAACTGTCACATTCAGGAGTTTTTGTATGTTGAAATATATTAATAAGGAAATTATTCTAACTATGGCTTTAATTTTTAATGGCTAACCCACCTTTTTTAAGGGGTTGAATTAAGAAGTGAACCTTTTTTCAATATATATATATATATATATATATATATATATATACACACAACTCTTTACTATTCTTGTTAATGTAACTCCTATATTTTGGTGCTACTGTCCTACTACCTTAATGTTTTTTAGTGTGCTCTGCCTGTTTCTGGGTAATCTTCACAGGTATGTCGGGAAACCTCAAAAGAGTCTTCTCCATTTACAAGTTTATCTTTTTGGTTGTTTTTTTTTTTCAATTTAATACAGTGAGCTTCCATATAATTTCTGTTTAAGGAAAAATTTTTCAGTGCTTTAAAATAAACATTGCCCTAACAGTTTACTATCCTGTATTCATATCTTACCTTTTCAGCAGGTATTAGTTATAAATATTTGGAAATTGTTGTTGTCATATAAGTTTTTTTCTTGCTCATAGTCTGACATTATAAACTCTGAATATGTTTAGAAAAGTTTTCATTTATTAATCTCTGAAGTCTGTGCATAATAGTTAATGTACTTTAAAAATCTTTAGTAGAAAATACATTTTTATTTTATATAAATAAAATGAAAGATTGAGCAGCTTATTCCTTCCATAAGGCTTCAAATAACTTAAAAATAGACTTCCTACAGCTGTATTTTATTTTGATTTTATAAGAAATACTAAAGAGCTGATTGCTTTAAAATAATCAATGCCATTATTTTTCTCCAATTTGTATTTTTAATCCCTTCTTTAATACTGGTGTGTTTTGAATACTACTTGCATTCCCTTATTTGTTTTCTGATTTTGGGGTCACAACCAGTGATGCTCAGGGCTTACTCCAGAAAAAAAATAATGAGTGCTGGAGATAGAACCCAGGTTAGGCTTGTGCATGGCAAACAGCCTACCTGGTGTACTGTATCTCCTTATCTTTTTGCCCTTTCATTTATTGATGATCTTTTTTACAAGAAAGGACTGACTGTCATACCTACCTTTATTTTTCTTTGCATTTAAAAATTTCCTTTTCATCTGACTTTTACTTGTAACACTGTTGAACAGCTGTTTTTCATTAACCAACCAATGTCTTTTCTTTAGTGTGTCTTCTTGATAGCTCTATCAGGTTGCATACTCTTAAGTACCTCCTCTAGAAATTCTACTGCCTGACTACTGATACTCCTATATCTCTTTCTCCTTTATTTCCTTTCATTAATCTTCTGCTTTCGTTTGTTTCCCTTACCTTTATTTTATTTTTGATTTTTGAATAAAACAGGACTGTGCTCAGGACTTACTCCTGACTCCATGCTCAGCGTGCTATTTGTGGTGCTAAAATCAAATCTGGTTCAGCCAATTCAAGGCAGGGAACTTAATCTCTATTATCTCTCTGGTTGATTTTTTGGTATCTGTTCTTTGCACCAGTTTTCTTCCTATTTGCAATTTCATTCTATTTTTGTCCTCTTGTCTTTCACAAATAAAGGAATCTAATGCCTATATCCATCATCTTTATTTTGGTAACTCCCTAAATTCATATATGTATCCTAACACCTCTTTTAATCTACAATCTCATTTCCAAGTGCTTCCTAAAAAGTTTTTCCTTTCAATGTTTATTATTTTTTTCTGTCTCATGCTTCTTTTTTCTGTGTTTGTATTTACTTATTTATTTTTGAGGAGGCAGTTTGTGGTTTTATTTATTTTTTCATCAGTGTATTTTTAATTTTATTATTTTTTGTTAAATAACTATGAGCTACAGTTACAAAAAATTCATGTTTTAGTTTCAGACATACAATAATCAAACACCAATATCTCCACCAGTGTATGTTTTCCATCACTAATGTCCCCAGTATCTCTATCTCACCAGTCCCATCCCTCCCTCTGCCTCTATGGCAGATAATTTCCCTCTTTCTAAGTACAAATTCTTTCAGGATAGCATCGTCCTCCCTTTGTTTATTGATTTGCTCGTGTGGGCACCAGTAATGTCTCCATTGTGAGACTTGTTGTTATTGTTTTTGGCATATTGAATACGCCACGGGGAGCTTGCCAGGCTCTGTCAAGCAGTTGGGATACTTTCAGTAGCTTGCCGGGCTCTCCAAGAGGGATGGAGGAATTGAATTCAGGTTGGCTGCGTGCAAGGCAAATTCCCTACCCACTGTGCTATCACAAAATACATCAGTAAAAGAAAATTTGGGGAAAAAATTAGCATGGCCCCTGCACAAGGATGACACGCAAATTTGTGAAGCATTCCATATTTTTGAGGCGCTGGAGCAATAGTGGAGCAATCTTCTTAGCCCTTGTCTCTACTATCCTCTGGTGTTGGTCTCCTATTACGATAGTTTATATTCTACAAATGAGTGCAGTCATTCTATGTCTGTCTCTCTCTTTCTGATTCATTTCACTTAGCATGATACTCTCCATGTCCGTCCACTTACAAGCAAGTTTCATAACTTCATTGTTCCTAACAGCTGCATAGAATTCCATTGTGTAGATCTACCAAAGTATCTTTAACCAGTCATATGTTCTCAGCCACTTGGGTTGTTTCCAGATTCTGGCTATTATAAACAGTGCTGCATTGAACATACAGGTGAAGATGTCATTTCTACTGTGCTTTTTTGTACCCTTGGGATATATTCCATATATATATATATATTCATATGGAAACTCAATTTCTAGTTTTATAAGGAAAAAGACTGGACCACTCGGCATTCCCACAAACAATGAAAATCCCTTTCCTTTTTTTATTGAAGCACCGTGAGCAATACTTCCAAAGCTTTCATGTTTGAGTTTCAGTCATACAGTGATCTAACACCCATCCCTCCACCAGTGCACATGTTCCACCACCAGTGTCCCCAGTATCTCCCCCATTCCACCCTCACCCTGCCTGTATGGCAGACAATTTACCCCATACTCTCACTCTACTTTTGGGCAGTATGGTTTGCAATGCAGATACTGAGAGGCTATCACATTTGGTCCTTTATCTACTTTTAGCACACATCTCCTATCCCCATCAATCCCTCCAACCATCATTGATTAGTGATTCCTTTTCTATTCCAGCTGCCTTCTTCCCCAGCTCATAAGGCAGGCTTCCAACCATGGAGCAATATTCCTGGCGCTTGTATCTACTGTCTTTGGGTATCGGTCTCATATTATGTTACTTTATATTCCACAAATGAATGCAGTCATTCTATGTCAGTCCTTCAATTTCTGACTCATTTCACTTAGCATGATACTCTCCATGTCCACCCATTTATAAGCAAATTTCATAACTTCATCTTTCCTAACAGCTGTATAGTATTCCATTGTGTAGATGTGCCAAAGTTTCTTTAACCAGTCATCTCTTCTCAGCCATTCAGGTTGTTTCTATATTTTGGCTATTGTGAACAGTGCTGCAATGAACATACAAGTGCAGATGTCATTTCTACTTTGCTTTTTTGCACCCTCGGGATATATTCCCAGATGTGGCATTACGGGGTCATATGGAAGCTCAAATTCTAATTTTTTAAGAAATGCCCATATTGTTTTCCAAAAAAGCTGGACTGTTCGGCATTCTCACCAACAATGAAAGGTAGTCCATTTCTCTCCATACCGTGCCAGTTCTGATCTGTCTTGTTCTTTTTGATGTGTTCTAGTCTCTGTGGTGTGAGATGATACCTCATTGTTGTTTTGATTTGCATCTCCCTGGTGATTAGTTTTCTCCCTGCTCTACATTTTTCTCATGTGCCTTTTGGCCATTTGTATTTCTTTTTTTGTGGAACCTTCTATTTATTTCTTCTCCCCATTAGAGGATTTTTTCTTGTATAATTGTATTTATGTCTTACATACCTTGGATATTAACCCCTTATCTGATGAATATTGGGTAAATATTTTTTTCCATTCTTTGGGCTCCGTCTGTATTTTGATCACTGTTTCTTTTGAAGTATAGAAGCTTCTTAGTTTAATATAGTCCCGTTTGTTTTTGTTTTTATCTGTGCTGGAGTGATAGCACAGCAGGTAGGACGTTGCCTTGTATGCAGCCAACATGGCCAACCCGAGCTCAATTCGTCTGCCCCTCTCTGAGAGCCTGGCAAGCTACCAAGAGTATCTCGCCCACATGGCAAAGCCTGGCAAGCTCCCTGTGTCATATTCGATATGCCAAACACAGTAACAGGTCTCACAATGTTACTGGGCCTGCTCCAGCAAATTGATGAACAACGGGAGGACAGTGAGAGTGGCAGTTTTTGTTTTTTGCTTTTGGGGGTCACACCCAGCGATGCACAGGGGTTACTCCTGGATTTGCACTCTGGAATTACTCCTGGCGGTGCTCAGGGGATCATATGGGATGCTGGGAATAGAACCCAGGTAGGCTGTGTGCAAGCTAAACGCCCTACCTGCTGTACTATCGCTCCAGCTCCATAATGTAGTCCCATTTGTTTATGTTTATTTCCACTTGCTTGGTCAGTGGTGTTTCATCTTTAAAGATTCCTTTTGCTTTGGTGTCATGGAGGGACCTACCTACATTTTCCTCCGTGAACTTTATGGATTCAGGTATGATATTGAAGTCTTTTCATCCACTTTGATCTGACTGTTTTTGCCTGTCATTAGAGGCATTAGACAAACAAATGTACATGTAAGTATTCATTGGAATAATATGCTACCATTAAAAAGTTAAAATTGTGACATGGATGAAACTTGAGGTAAAATAAAGAAGTGAAAGGTGATTTCCAGATGATTTCAAACTAGCATGTGTTGTTTTTGTTTTTGTTTTGTTTTTATGAAACCACTGTCTTCCTAGTTGCCCCATTTAAAACCTTGGAGTATTCTAGCTGACTTTCTTTTTCTCTTTATATCCTTAAAGTGGGCTGGAGCAAATGCACAGCGGGTAGGGCGTTTGCGTTGCAAGTGGCCAACGTGGCCGATCCAAAGTTTGATTCCTCCGCCCCTCTCAGAGAGCCCCGCAAGCTACTGAGAGTATCTCGCCCACACGGCAAAGCCTGGCAAGCTACCCCGTGATGTATTCAATATGCCAAACACAGTAATAACAAGTCTCATGATGGAGATGTTACTGAGCATGCTCGAGCAAATCGATGAACAACAGGAGGACCGTGACCGTGATCCTTAAAGTAACTAGGTTTTATGAAGTAACAATTCTTCAATACCACTTAAATTTCCTGTTTACAATGTCTATTGCTGGTTTCTAGCCCAGAGTATAATCAACTCAGGCTCTCACAGTAGGATTATACTGACTTTAAAAAAAATCTATTTTAGCAGCTTTATAATAAGGGATCATTGGCACATAAAAATTTTATATGTTTAAACTATACAACTTGATGTTTCAACATATGTTTACCCTGTGAAAGTATTACCATAGTAATTACCAAACTAATAGATGCATCTGTCCCCTCCACGTAGTTACTGTGTATATGCATGATTAGATTTTGTTTACGATTTGTCCTCTTTATGGACTTCAAGTACACAATATAGTATTGCTAACTATAGTTACCATTAACTATAGTTATGCTGATATCTGGAACTTACTCATTCTGTATAATTGAATCTTTATGCCTTTATAGACATTCTCTATCTTCCCTTTCTCTAGCCCCTGGAAACCATAATGCTGCTATCTGCTTTTATGAGTATGATTATTTGAGGTCCTGCATGTAATTTATATTACACAGTATTTCTTTTTCTGCATCTTAGTTATCTTGTTTACTATAATTCTTCCAACTCCATGTTGTTGCAAGTGACAAGGTATCCTTTTGTGAGACTGGAAAATATGTGTGTACTTGATAGATAGGTGCACACATACACGCACACACAACCTGCTTAGACACATCTTCCATATCGTTCACCTATAGATAAACATTTATATATTTTCTCTATGTTGGTCATTGTGAATAATGATGGCATTAACATGGGACTATAGCAATCATCACAACTGTGACAGCCGGTTATGATTTTGATTTGTATTTCCCTGATGGTTAGAAATACTGAGTACTTTTTCTTCTGCCTAAAACAGGCATATTTTTCTCACAGTTAGGGAGACTCAAAGTTTAACATCAGGTGCCATCTGATGTTTCAAGAGAAGTTGCTTCCCGGCTTGTGGTAGCGGCCACCTTTTTGCTCTGGACTCAAGTGGCTTTTTCTAAGTATTCCCAAAGGGAAAGAAGTCTCTGGTGTCTCTTCCTTTTCTTATAAGGACACTACTCAGAGTAATACATGCTTATGATTTCATTTTACTTTGCTGTCTTGAAGGACCTATTTCTAAATAGAGTCACATTAGGTATTAGCCCTTCATCATACGTAGTGAGGATGTACATAATTTTATTCATAATATATAGATTATTAGGCTAATCTTGTGATTCTGGTCACCATACAATACGGAACTTTGCTGTGTATAATTTTACCTATCTACTTGCTGTTTTCTTCTTAACACTCGAATTATTTATTCCCAATTATCTTTCCTGGGTATTCATTATTTTTAAATATTCAAATGTTCCAGATCTCAGTCCTTTGTCACCTTCTCTCTTTTTACTTAAGTTTTCAGTGAGCAATTTCAGTTCTTATTGCTTTAAATGTTATATCTCTACTGATCATTTTGAAGATTATGTCTTCAACTCTATCTAAATCTCTCATTTTTTTATGAAATACCTTTTCTTGGATTGTTAATATTTGAAACTCTGATATCTTGGTTTTGTAAGCCACTCTGCCCAAACCTATTCTTCCTTCAGTGTTGTCCAACTTAGAACACTCTCTTCACCATCCACTGAGTTGCTCAGGCAATAAAACCTATGACTTTTACTCTGTGCTTAATATTTTAAACTCAGTCTGTCAAGAATTCTTAGAAGTTCAAACTTGGAAAACAAATGCTAACTCTGGTGACCTCTCTAGAAGAAAATGAACTGAATCTAATCACTTATCATCCTTGGTGCATCCGTCATCATGTCTTACTTAAACTATTGCTGTGAACTCACAAATGCCCTCTACTTCCAATCTTGCCTTTTCTGTAATATGTTCTCTCTACAGCAACCATAGAAAGCTTTTAAAATTTTAAAATAGATTCTGTCATTCTCCAACTCTAAAACCCTATAATTGGCTGCCATTTATTTTTTATTTTTCTCTTTTACTCCAAGTTACTCTGGGTTTCTGTTTCCTCTAATGCAATCTTATTTCCCCAGATGCTACTTCATTTTCTCAAATGCCACCTCAACAAAGAGTTCTTTCTAATATTAGATAGATAGATAGATAGATAGATAGATAGATAGATAGATTTGTGGTTTTCCCTTATATTTCTTTATAACATGAATAATATCTGGAATTTAATTTATTTGTCTCTCAATATTTCCCTACTAAAATAAAGTTAAATACTGAGGCTTTTGTATTGTTTATTTATCATATTTCAATCCATGAACAGTGGCTGGCCCTTTTCAATGAATTAATGAAATAATTCTGGTACATATTCTCAGATAATTCTTCTTGGAGTTCAGCACTGAAAATTTCTGCCCCGCTACTTCGCCATCCATAGTCTCATCACTGCTTGTCTCCATGCTCCCCACCCCAGTCAGACAAAAATTATAGTTTCATTCCCAAAAGATTCATATTCACATACCCACCATGATTTTGCCCATCTGCTTTGGACATTATTTTTTTGGGGGGAGAGGTGGCTGTTTATTTCCCTTAAACGTAAATTACTATTTTTCCAGTGTCAAGATTTAACTCTTAAAAATCATTCATCTTGATTTAGATCACTCTCTTGATGGATTGGATCAGTCCCTTACAAATGGTGATGGCAGAGAGCCCCGGACAGGAGTAAAAAGAAAACTGCTTCTTGCTTCTGAAGAAGATGAAAGCATAGGACAAGAAGAGAAAGAGAAGAAAGAAACAAAAGAGAAATCACATTTATCCTCCTCAGAAAGTGGTGAATTAGGATCTAGTTTAAGTTCTGAAAGTACCTGTGGTTCTGATTCTGACTCTGAATCAACTTCAAGAACTGATCAAGATTATGTAGATGGAGACCACGACTATAGTAAATTCATACAAACCAGACCTAAAAGAAAACGCAGAAAACAATATACCAATGGAAAAAGAAACTGGAAGAGGAGAGGCATGGGAGGAAGGGGAAGATGGGGCAGATGGGGTAGATGGAGTAGAGGAGGCAGAGGAAGAGGAGGCAGAGGACGAGGGGGTCGAGGAAGAGGTGGTGGTGGCACTAGGGGAAGAGGGAGAGGAAGAGGAGGAAGAGGTTCTTCTAGAGGAGCCACCAGAGCCAAACGTGTACGTACTGCAGACGATGAATTTGATACCTTATTTTCAGGACGTTTCAGTAGACTGCCTCGAATTAAAACAAGGAACCAAGGCAGGAGGACTGTTTTATATAATGATGATTCTGACAACGATAATTTCGTGTCCACTGAAGATCCTCTGAATCTTGGTACATCCAGATCAGGCAGAGTACGTAAAATGACAGAAAAAGCCAGGGTTAGTCATCTCATGGGATGGAATTATTAACAATTAATAAATGTATACTAATTTAAAAAATTCAATGGCCTTCTACTGCAGGGAATTTACCAGGAAATTTACAAAGCAAGTTGTGTGGGAACTTCCGATTCCTTTCACATTGGTGCTTTTCCATAATTCCAGTATAAGTGTGTTTCAAGACTTTAAACCTCCACACTTCCATTTGTTCAAATAAGCCTTACTCATTAGGCCTTAAATGAAAAAAATCTTCACACACACACACACACACACACACACTACAGATTTACTATATAAAGGAGCATCCGGCTTCTTAAGAGTAGCATGAAATTTTTATCTCAATTGAATATCCCTCTTTTCTTTTATAACATAGGAGTTTAGCATCTTCTTAAAGAGTTTTATATAATTTGTTTTTGCCATTTTGATTCCTGTACCCAGTAATAACTTTTGCACAATACACCAATCCTAAAGGCAGCTATTAAATGTTTACACTTTCTATATTGTTAGAACGATCTGGATTATTTTATTGTTCCTAGGCCAAACTTTCATGCATTGTACTAAACTGAAGTATATATTTATACTACAGTTTTTTTTGGGGGTGGGGGAAATCTTGATATGCTTTTAATTGATTTGCTTAACTCATATTAAGGATGAGAAAGGGTTGGTGCCTTGTAAATATGTAGCTGATATTTGTAGTGTATTCTGATGTGTGCATTAACTTTATTTAAAAAAAAGAATACTTGAGATAACAATTTAGACAAGGTGCCAAATGCAAAAGTTTCTTGCATCCATTTTCCTTTATATTTTATTGCATTAATAGAGCTTGTGTAACATAAAAAATAGCTTAAATATTTGAAAAATCCTCATCTACAAAGTATACTTCTTTAAATAGTAGCTCAGCTACCTCTTTTAACTATAACTACTGGAAACATTAAGGAAAATAGATGCTTTTATTCATTACTAAGGAGAAATAGAACAAGCTTGGTAGGAATGAATACCCCTAAATTATAAGCTGGAGGTTGTTAATAAACCATATGTGCTCTCAAAAATCATAATTAACGAACTTTCATAAGTATAGTATGCTCTATCTTAGTTTTTTCTTAAAACTCTTTAAAGTATACCTGGGCAACTGCTTATGTATCCGCGCTACCAATATTTAACATCTGTAAATGACTGGCTTTCAAATGAATTTTAAGTGTCACCAAGCACCTAGTTTGAGTTGGAATGTTTTGGCTAGCTCATATTTTGAATGAACTATAATGGGTTCTGTTCATACCATTCCAAAGGGGCCATCTGTTATAATCTTTCAGAAAGGAACCTTATTGCACTGCACACTGGTATTTTGAGTCATTATTTTATAGATTTTTTTAAAAGTCTTTAAAACCCTTAGAGTCTTGTTTACAGCAATAGAGTGCACATAGTTCCATAAGTGAACTTGAGTTCCAAGATCAGTTTTACTCTTTAAATTTGAGAGATTGTAAATTTGCTGATTTGTTAGCTACATAGTTTTTTTGTTTTTTGTTTATTTGTTTTTTTGGTGAGAGGAATACTATTGATCTGGTTTTTGTTAATGTTGTTGTGTGGATAATAGATTTGTTGCACTTAGATCAGACTTGTGGGATAAATGAAACTTCTTAATGTATGCCTACTAATCTTGAGTATTTTTAAGGTAACGTGTTTTATGCTTTCAATCATATATTGAATCTGAAGATCCTTAAGTGCAGAGAAATGAGTATACACATATCTTTTGCTTTTTTGGTTGGCTCAGTTAGGGGTTATTCTAAGACTAACAACACTGTTTTACAGTTTTCACTTGCTGTAGAAATGATGTTCAGGCTTTAAGTATTGTGAATTTTAATGGCACTAACTTCTACTACTAGATAAATAGTTCAAGCTAATTTTTTATTGTCTATTTTTTTCCAAAAGGAAGTCAAAACTATTTCTGGTTGTAACTCAGCTGCCACATTCAGCCACAGTGTAAATTATAAAAAAATCGTATTTGAGATTCTCTATTTGATTTTACTAAAATATACTTTCAGTTATTCATCTCTTGGGAATTTAGACCAAATTTATACCTCTGCTTTCTGAGAATCACTAAGACCTTGGCATATCCTAATAAAAGTAACATAGTTATTTATATTTTTGGATATACCCAAATATGCAAAATGTGTGTCTTATTAGTATGAACACTTTTATTGGTATTTAAGCTGACATCTTGAAATGTAGATGAATTGCCATTTGTGTGACTTTACTTATATCAAGCTTTATTTATAATTTATTTTGAAAAATAAAAATGCCACATTTATTTCCCAAATGTCAAGATTTTCTAGGTTTAGGTAATTAGAATAAGACTGAAGGCATTTTAAAGCATATTTTATATGTAGTAAAATACTGTGAAAATACTAGTGAGCAGCATTTTGTTTTAATGTTGAGTTTAGTTATTAGGATTTAAAGAGTTAGTAAACAGGGTATGTTAGATGAGTATAGTTATCATTTATTACAGAACAAACAGATCATTTTCTGTTTGCATGCAAATTATTTTAGTAAGTATGAAAATTAAGTTTGGAAGATAATATTTTTACTTTTGTACCTGGACTCTTCCCTCCCAGGCTCCCAGCTAATTTGTACTTTGATCTCTTTTTGGTAACACTGCCTCTTATCAATGTGTTTTAATGTGTATCACATTGACTAAAGGGTCACTTAGTTTTGTAGAGTCCCTTTAAACCAAAAGAAGATCTGGGTTCAATCATAACAAGGCAGGTAATAGGTAAGCAGGTAAGCTAAAATTTTGGAGAAAAATCTAAATTTTAAATTAATTGCTAAGAAAAAAAACAATACTCTATATGTCCAGGAGAGCACACACATGTATAAGCCCAATATTGCGCTGTTTATTAATAAGTGACCTGTATTTTTCTCAAAATGCTAATGATATTTTAATTCACAGCTAAACATCTAGCATTGTATATGTTTATGAAAAGAGAATTGTGTGTTTCCTCTGTGGCTTACTGTATGTCTCTTACAGCAATAGTATGCTCTCCAAGCATTCACTAGCCTGTTAGCTTAATGATTAAATTTATTGTGTGTGTGTGCACACACGTGTGTATGTGTGTTTTTTTTTTCAATTTGACAGACTTTATTTCAGACATTAAAATTTTTGTATGGAAAAGAACTATATTTCATTCTACCAATTATTTGACTCTTATAAAGTGCTTAGCCCATATATATAGAACTTGTTCATCTATTTCATAATGCCTTCCAAACAGTGTAGGTGTGGCCTTTAGCCCATACTCTTTTTAAATTTTTTTGTTCCTTTTTGTTTCCCTTTTCAGAAATCAGGATTGTGTTATAATTCTCCATTTTTGTTTCACCTCTAACTTACGAAGCCAAGTAAAATTCCTAAATTTTATTTCACACAAAAGTGTTTAGCCTCTAACCCAGTACTTCGAAATAAGTTTGACCTATCTCTTTTGTTCTGATTCTGTGGATTAAATTTAGATGGTAATAGTATTTGAAAGTAAAAGATGTTAGTGTCACTTCCAAATATCCTACAGAGACACATATCTAAGTTTTTGATTAAAATATTTTGAGCATTTTTATTTTATTAATAATTTATTACTTGCTAATATAGCATGAGCATTTTTTAAGAACACATAGCAACTGGTACTTTTCTTTAAAGTTGAAATTATCATACCCACAAAAAGACTTTCATTCTGTATAATTTCCAGCGTATTTTGGTGTCTAACCTTTTAAATAATTACCAGCATTTGAATATCTAATAGTTTTCACTAGGAGGGTGGGATGGCATGTTTGACATTAACATTCATGATCTTAAATGTTAGTCTCCATACACAGCATTTTTGTGGTGCATGAAGTTTTTTTGAAGTTTTTATTAAATAAAATAATCTTTGATCAGTGTTTCTCAACCTTCTTTGCAGTCATGACTTCCCGTCTGACCTTGTTTCCTTTCCTGTACAACTCCCCCTCCCCACCGTCCTACTGGTTGGTTTCCTAATCTCATTCCATGGTCTTCTTGTGGACCCACAGGGGGCCACATGGCCCTCAGTTGAGAAATACTGCTATAAGATCACTTGTAAGGCTTGTTTTAATATATAATATGAAAAAAATGTTCTTGTATTTTTGCTTTTTACATCTTAGTAAAGTTTCTTTTCAATTCAATTACCAAGTTTTGATTAAATCCTAATATAATCTTAATCTTTTTTCATGGTGCTGTATTTTGTGGGATATGGATTACCCTCAATGTTCTTGACATTTATTACATAGCCTTATTCCTTATTTTTTTTCCTCACCATTCTCTCCTGCCTACTTTTCTCTTCATTTCTCTTTCAACATTGAAGACTGTACCTAATCTAACACACTTCAAGAATGGCAATGTATTGTAGAAAGGCCCTGCAGTTTAGATTTATAGTATGTTTGATTTTATGTACTTTTATTTGTTATAATTCTAGTATATGATACTTTGACAAATAAGAGCATGATAAGTATTTTCTGGAAAAAAAAACCTGTTGGTACATAGAAAATTGCCATTTGTAATTGTTGTTTAAAATCACATATAAATTATTTAGAAACACAGTTGGGAATTGTGTTTTTGCATATGTCACCAGAAACATGTTAGTCAATACTTGTAAATGTCTATTCTTTAAACAATACTGTGGTGATGGCAATCAGTAATTTATTTCTCTGTCCTGTAATTTACCACTTTTGTCTTTTTGTAACATTTATGGTATTCACAAAATTGTACCATATGATTGTTCTCAGTCTCCATAAATTTTATGATGGAAATTTATTCAGTTCAAAGTTAATGTCATTTTGTGTATGGACAAAATGTTCATTAAACTAAAATTTAGTAAAGGAAGGTACACCAAACTGGCTTGATTTATAAAAGATGTTTGTTTGGTAGTTAAAAAATTATCTTCAAACAGAAGAATAACTGGACTAATTGTTGCCATTCATTATGGGATGTTTACAATAAAATTCCAAGTTGTTTGGAATCAATTGCACTCTTGTTGCTTTATCCCTTAAATTATTATTAGAGATAAATTAACAGGAAAAAAGAAAGGCAGAATTACTTTTTATTAGTCAGCTTCTAAGATTGTAATATATGGTTAACTCAGATATTTCTCTTTTTACAGAATAATTTATTATTACTTTTTAATATGAGAAACTAGAATATTTCTGCCTGTCTAAGAAAATATAAGACTTTTTTCCCTAGTTATTGCCAGTATTCTTTGGGTCACTTTTTAGGTAATAAATATGATGTTAACAATGTTTCCTTCCCTTTCCTTTGTTCCTTTCCTTTGTCATTACTATGATGTAGTATAACATGTGAAACACTTGGTTGGCATACTTGTACTTTGTGATGTGCACAAGGGGTCACAGACTTAGTTTGCAGTATATGAATGATCATTTGTGATGTTCACATACACACTTTTTTGCAGTTAATTTCATTCTTGTGGCACTGAAGATTGCAATGGCAGTGCCACTGTTATCACACTTGGCATATGGAGCAGTGCCAGAGATCAAAGCTGGCATCTCAGGCATGTAGGTCAGATGTTCTACCACTGAGATTATCTCCTGTTCCTGCTGTTTAACATTTTAAATGTGAGCTACTTGGTGCCTGCAAATATAGCATTGTTTTATAGTATTTAATGAATAAATTTCTAATATCTCTATGACTTATAAGTATTCACAACTGAATTATTAATTCCCACATTTTTCCCAGAAAGGCTACTTTGTAGATAGAAAAATAGTACTTTTAGTGTAGGAAGTGAAAGAAGGAAGGAGAGAATTGAGATAAAAGATGAAAAAAAGAATTTAAATTTCCAACCTGAACTGCAAAAATTTCACTTTATTCAAGGTAATAAAGTTGCTGAGACTGAACTTTGTTTTTTACTTTTAACTTTTTTTTATTAAAATTTTTTTAATAGTGAGACATGAGGTACAGTTGCAGACTTACACATTTTTGTGCTTTGGTTTCAATTATACTTTTAGTCTTTTAATACCATACAGTCTTTAGAGCATACTCCCCTTATATGGTCTTTTAGTAGCACTGTAGCGCTGTCATCCAGTGGTTCACCAACTTGCTCGAGCGGGCGCATTAACATCTCCAGCCCTGAGATTTTAACAGCCTCTCCTCTAGTTCTTCCCAAATCTGCCATATTGGAGGCTCTTTCAGGGTCAGGGGAATGAGGCCTATTTTTGTTACTGTTTTTGTCATATTGAATACACCATGGGTAGCTTGCCAGGCTCTGCAGGTCTTTCAGTACCATATTAAAAATCAAGAAATGAAATATTTAGAAAAATCCACCTGTATCTTTCAGCATTATAACATCTTACTATGGAAGCCCAATATTCACAGTATTTCTAGATTAAAGCACATATTATTTAATGTTATTGATTGGTTAAAGATAACCTCATTATAACCCCTTTATCAGCATGTTAAATTTAAATTATTAGCAGGCTTTAATTTTAACTCATAGGGTTTTTTAATAGAAAAAATAATGAGTTTCGGTAACAAAGTTATTCTGATGATCATTTTCCTAGTTAAAGGTCAAGAACAACATGCTCGCTACACTTTCCGAGTTGCATGCCTCTGGGAGTTTTAAGCTGTTTGCCCAAAATGCACAAAATAAATTTAAACCTGCATGTTGAGCCTATGAGTTGATGGAGGGATTTTTTTTACCCAATGGATATAGTTTTCTTTTCAAATTTCAGTTACTGTTGTTTACAAAACTGATTAATAGTTGAGTTTCATGCATAAAACATTGCAGCACCACAGCCTCAAGGAGAGTGTTCACTTCTACCTTTGTCCTAGTTCCTCCCATTGTATTCCCCTACCCCACTCTTTTATGCATATACTTTTAAGGGTTGTGGGACTGAAATATTTTAATTTTGCTGTGTCATAATTGAAGTCAATGCTTAATACTTGGAAATATATTCTATACTGTGGAACCACATTTCCAGTCCTTGCACTTAAGGTTGAATAAAATTGGCTGACTATAAAGTTTAAGATTTTCGGTCACTTTCTATAAAGGCTTTAATGATATTTCAGTGTCTTTAATTTTTAATTTAAAAAACTTTCATTGTAAGTAAAGTGAAGTAAAAGTAAAGGCCCTCCTGTTGATCATCGATTTGCTTGAGCGTAAAGGTAAAGGTAATAGCACAGCGGTAGGGCGTTTGCTTTGCACGCAGCCAACATGGCCGACCCGAGTTCGATTTCTCCGCCCCTCTCGGAGAGCCCGGCAAGCTACCGAGAGTATCTCGCCCACACGGCAGAGCCTGGCAAGCTCCCCGTGACATATTCGATATGCCAAACACAGTAACAATAAAGTCTCCAATGGAGACGTTACTGGGCCCGCTCGAGCAAATCGATGATCAACAGGGAGGGCCTTTACTTGTGGAGCGATAGCACAGCGGGTAGGGCGTTCGCCTTACAAGCGGCTAACATGGCCGACCCTAGTTCAATTCCTCCGCCCCTCTCGGAGAGCCCGGCAAGCTACCGAGAGTATTCAATATGCCAGACACAGTAACAACAAAGTCTCCAATGGAGACGTTACTGGGCCCGCTCGAGCAAATCGACGATCAACGGGAGGGCCTTTACCTTTACCTTGCTGGAGCGGGCCCAGTAACGTCTCCATTGGAGACTTTGTTGTTACTGTGTTTGGCATATCGAGTACGTCACGGGTAGCTTGCCAGGCTCTGCCGTGCGGGCGAGATACTCTCGGTAGCTTGCTGGGCTCTCCGAGAGGGGTGGAGGAATCGAACTCGGGTCGGCCATGTTGACTGCGTGCAAGGCAAACGCCCTACTGCTGTGCTATCGATATTTAGGTAATATGGTTACAAAAGTGTTAAGATTTGGGGCTAGAGAGATAGTACAGAAAGTAGAGTGCCTTGCATGCTGCTGACCTTGGTTCAATCCTGATAATGCCATATGGCCTCCCCCACAAGTACCACCAGGAGTAACCTCTGAGCATCACTGGGTGTGACCCAAAAAGCAAAAAAAAAAAATTTAAAGGGTTCTGCTCCTCCCCTTTATCTAACTCCAGCAAACCAAACCCAGTTTTTAATCAGAGATCCATGGTTTGTCATCATTTGATATAGACCATTTACATGTTTCTCCTTTGCCACATATGCCAGCTGAATAAATTATCCATTCTCCCTCCAACTTACTTCACTTAACTTCATGCCCTCCAGTTCCATCGCAGTTGCAGCAAAATGCAAAATTTCATATTTTCTTACAACTACATAATAT